CCCTGGCTTTGTCCCTGTTTTGAGAGCCAGGGGAGGAGCCTTGCTGCCCGCAGCAGCAAGATAACACAGTGGAGTGTTAAACAGCCAAATGGTCCCGGACTGGGACTGTGAGCTGGGCAAGGGCCAAGGGGAAGGGTGAGCTCTCCTCATGCCAGCTGGCACTGCAGGGCAGAGGCTCACCCCAGCACATTCACTCCATTGAACAGGGCAGCACTGCAGCTGATCCTGCCCCAGCCCGCACAAGGAGCCAGCAGACTTTGCCTCTTGGTGCTGGAGGTTGCCCATCCCCATAGTTTTCCAGGAGATCCGCTCCAGAGGAGCAGGAAAGCTCCGCTTCTCTTTCAGAGAGAGCATAAGCGTGTTTGGCCAAAGCACTGGGCACAGCACTGAGCCTGGGAGGGAGCCGGGGCTGGCTGCTGGAGAGGGGCAGCACCACGGCAGAGGGATGTAGGAAGATGTGATGTCTCATCCTCTTCCACCAGGCACAGAGCATCAGGACCCAAGCAGCGGCTCTGACAATGCCTCTTCAGGCCATGGATCAGCATAGCCAGGTGAGCAGGCACATGCTCCTAATATTTGACCCTTCTCTGGCCCAAATAAAGCAGCCCAGAGACACCTCCTTGTCCCTTCTGGGTCTCTTCCACACCAGGAATGAGTCTGAGGCCGTTAAGTGTGAGGGATGACTTGTCCTGTGCGTTGTGGGACACCCCATGAGGCCGTTTCCCCAGCTCTGTGTTCCCCAGGGCCTTTGGAAGGGGCTGGGACATCTGCTGCCATCCTTCCCTGGTCCTGCAGCCCCTCACATGCCCCATGTGGGCTTTTGTTCTTGCTCTCACACAGGTCTCTGGAGCAGAGCATCTCAGCAGTGCAGCCCCCAGCTCGGTGCTTTGCTCAGGCCTGAGCTCCACATCTGGCTGAAGGTCCCACATGGTTCAGTGCTCTGCAAACCAGAGCTGAGCCACCACTTTGGACCGGAGGCTAAACCAGCCTGGGAGCTGCTGAATTCAGTGGTGTTTGTTCTGGTTTCTGTATCTTCATTTCCAGGCTCAGGAGGTACGCAGCAAAATTCATCCTTGGATCATGAGGCTTGCGGGGCAGGAATGACAAGGCCAGGGGTGCAAGACTTGGTGTTGGGAATGAAGAGAATGGAGTAGGGTGCCTCTTCTCCTTCAGCACACCTCCATCAACCTGCAGACACTACAAGAGACCTTGGGGATGGGGGGAACTGAATCAGGTCCTTGAGGACTCTGGATTCAGGGGAGAGTCTGGAGCTGGGAGGACCTGGGAGGACTCCACGGGGCCATGGCTGCAGAGGATCTCTCTGGGTTTCTTTGGGGACCACAGAGGATGCAGACTGGATCAGTGGGGACTTTCAGTGCTCCACAGAGGCCAACAGCCAGGGGAGAACTGTGGGAACAACTGTGGCACTTCCTGGGCTATGTATAATCTATTATTATTATTAAAGTGATGGGCACAATATTAATTCAATATTAAAGTGATGGACACACTCTGATTTCTTCTCCAGTTTCTCCAGCGCGGGCACGGCCTCAGAGCCCACTTTCACACAGCCACATCCATCTGCCCAGGGTGCCCAGAGCACATCCCTGCTCCCAGGGACACAGGGGCTGCTGTGGAGGAGCCTCGCTGGCTGCCCAGCACCAGGACCACGGGCTGTAGGGAATCCTTGTAACCTGAACTCCAGTTTCTCCCAAGCTCCAGGGTGAAATTCTGCCTCAGTATAATTTCAGGCACTTGGCTCTGCTGCAGAAGGGGGAGGGAGCCTGGATCCGAGCCTGGATCTGCCCTGTCCGCAGTTGGGATGATTTCCTAGCAGGGACCTGAGCTTGTAACCTCCCACCCTCTCAGGCAGGCTCAATCCCAGGCAGTTGTTGCAGGGCTGAGCACTGGGTCTGCTGTGAAGGTGTTTCCTCCACTACACGTGTTTTTAGTGCTGCTGGGTTTGTCTGCTGAGCCCCGGGGAAGGGAAGGATCCTGCTCAAGTGGAGCAAAAGCGTTAACACGGGGCTAATGCTCACTTGTCACCAGCTGAATCCAGGTATCAGCAGAAGACACACGCAGGATGGTGCATGGGGCTCAGCCCTGGGCAGGGCTCAGCTGGAGCTCAGTGCTGAGATGTGCCCTGCGGACACGTAGCCTGACGTGGTCCCCCTGGCACACGTGGTGCATCCAGGCACGTCTCCACGGGTAAAACAGGTCTTTCTGGCACCTCAAAGTGGTTTAACACATAACAGGAGGGAGAACATGTTGGAGCAGGTATTTCTCCTGAGGGCTACCTCTTAAAGAGCTGCCCAGAACCCACTGTCTGGGGTGACAGAGGGGAACCAGTCACCCTGCAGGGGATATGGGTGGATGAGAGATCTAACACAAGAGGATTTCTTTTTGCTGACGGAGGAAACGCAGCCTCATCCAAGTCGTGCTGGATAACCTTGGGCAGCTGCTTTGCTTCTCTGGGCCTCGTGCCTCCTCCCTGTAAAACGGGGCTGGCATTCTCCTGCTGAGTGAAATGCCCAGGCCCTGTCGCTGTGCGATCCGTGCCTGCCTGGACAGTGCATTCAACTGCTTCTGAACTGACTTATTCCACAGTTTTTCTGGCCCATTTAAGAGCTGTCCACCCCCAGTTACCCTTCACCAACCCCTCACTAAGGGAGCCAGAGGTGCTGTCAGACACAGGGTTATTCTGGAGGTTAAGAACTTCATGGCTTTGGTCTGCAGCTTCCTTAGTGACAGTGATGATAACTTGAGATCGTCCCTCTTCCCTGCGTGTGCATCTGCACTTGGACACACTGAGGTTGCACAAGGCTTCTGGTGCAGAGAAGGCCTTTAGCTGTCGGGAGCAGTTTTACAAAGCCTCTCATTTGCATGCACCTGCAGCTGTTCCTGTTGTGGGAGGCTCTGCTTTCTGCTGGTTTTGTTCCACTTCCCCTACACACAGAGGTTTCTTTATTAGATTCCCATGTGCACACTAAGGGCACGTCCAGATAACAAGGGATCCCTGACCAGTTACTTCACTGCAACACCTTCCCCAACAGAACTAACCAGGGTCAGGGCAGCCCGTGCTGGGCACCGATGAGGCATCCCCGGC